TGGTTCTAAATAAGACTGGTTATACATAACTTTTTTTTTAAAATGAATACTATAAACACACAAAATTAGATTGAAAACAATGACGAACAGAAGAGCTTCCTGTTTGAGGGACTAGTGATCTCAGAATTCCTGCAAGCTTCTTGTCAAAGATGGCTGATCAAGAAAGAGGAACAAAGCAAGAGAGAGTATGTGCCTCTGCTTTATGGTCTGGAGGGAAGAGATGCACAAGAACAGAAAGTGCTGCTCCTCATCATTCATCCTCTTTCAGCCATCAGCAGACATCAAGACCAATTCCAACTGGCATTACTGAAAGCTTTAGAAAAGCTAGGAAGACATTTTTCCACCTTTTCCCTCAACACATTGACCTCCCATCCATTTATGCAGATGAGGAAAAATAGTTCAAGGACAGTTGAATTTTTAGCTATCTCCTTCCTTTCCTCTCCTGATGTCCAGAATTTTCTTTCCCCCAGTCAACTCTAAGCTCTCCATTTATATTGCTTCTCCTTGTAGCATTTTTACACACACCCCCGCCCCACCCCAATTGATAGGTAGACATTTTGTCCAACCATTCTTACATTATTGATGACTGTTTTGAAGAACTACTTTATACTGTTTTATTAGGTTGGTGTCCTGGAACAAAGGAGATTCTCTGCAATAATTTGATCTTTCTGAGTCTAAACTCAGTGCCAAATTCAACCAAATTTATTAGGGGATGAGAGGGAAATTTCAAAGAAAAATATCAAGTTTCATAAAAATAGGCAATTGGATAAGGGACAGACTAGGTTTTAAGCATGCAAAAATTAATGCATAACGTGATTCTAAATGGAATATTCCATCCCTATGGCCAATTTCTGTAGCTGGATAAAACAATTTTCATGTCACCAAATAAGATACAAGCAGATAAAAATAAAATTTTTGTTTGACTCAACTAAGATGCAAATCTTTGGATGAACTGGCTTGCTTAATTCCAGTGTTAACAGAAGTATTTCTTACTGGGGATTCTGTCTCCAGACCTAAAGGGCTCCTCCACTCATGGATTCCACACAAAGATTAAGGTGAGAAAGTATCAGTAAATTACCCACTTCCACTACATAGCAGGTTGTTAATGTTTAAGAAGAAATTAACGTAACCCATCTGGCAACATATGTTTGGCTACACTGCATCTTTTGAGAAGGCTTTCAGTCATTGTTCCATGTCATCTTGAGACAACAAATCCACTGTTTCCTCTCTAGTATTTTTTCTGGAAAAAGATGTATGGATGTTACTGTCCAGTTCAATTTCACAGGTTATCTTCTGGCCCTCCTTGGTCTTTCTCTGGTAGACTAAGGAACTATTCACTACTTAGAAGTTTATACAACATAATTGTTTCCATTATTTTGTTTTCAACAAGCTAGATTAATTGGACCTTTAAATCACTTTTTACTAACACCTTCCCTATATTTCTCCTCTTTTCTAATTTGCCACGTCTCTCCAGTGAGCCTTAAAATACTTATTTTTTCCTGTTAACATCTTTATTTTTGCTTTTCCCTCTTCTTGTTTTATATCTGGGTTCATACTTGTAATAATTTATTCTCTACATAGTGTAGTATTTGCACAAATGCATATTCAGTACAGTTGCACCACTGCATGAGAAGAATACAGCAAGTAAATACTGTTCTAATATCATACTAGTCTATATTAGCTCTGGGGTGTATAGGTAAATCTCTACTTTCAGTTTTTAGCCTGCCTCTCTCGAGATCACTTGTGAGATTGATGATTTACCAAGTTAGACTTCTCTTTCATTACAAGGTAGATATTCAGAGTGACATATGGGCTATTGTACTGTTTGGGAGGGGGGTTGTTGCTGTTGTTTTGAAATACACAAATTCCTATCCATCCCTTGACAGACAGGAGCCAATGACTTGCAGACCAAAGCTGACCGATTGGTACAAATGAGCATTTGTGCTTCCCTGGCACGGAAGTTTCCCAAGGTGACAATCATAGGAGAAGAAGTAAGTTCCTAGTTTATTTCATACTAACAATTTAACTATCTGTAACTTGCAGTGGAATTTGCTTTGGCAGGTTTTAGGAAATCATCTGGGGTTTTTTTGTTGTTTTTTTGTTTTGTTGTTTTTTTTTTAAGTATTTCCATCCCATTTCATCTTTCCATTGCATTACCTTTGTCAAGTAAGCTGCAAGCAAATCCACAGTTCTAAGGCAAATTGAGGTGAGTCCAACACCTTTTTCTAATAATTCTGAGAATCCTTTTGTTAGGAACTAACCACTGATGAGGTAACTGAGGAATTAATTGAAGATGGCCACTGTGAAGAAATACTGAAGAGAACTTGTCCTGCTCAGTACACAGGAATTAAAGAGGAAGAGGTAATGTGGTAATGTTACACGTATGTCTTCATATTTTACACTATCTGTATTACTGATTTTAGCTAAGAATGTATTAAGAAAAAATGTTATTTCAACGTGGCCAATTTTTCTTTTTGGTTTGAAAACTGAAATGTAGTCATGAGAATCACACCTCCAGAGCTGGAAATGCTGCATATCCTTGTGTGCAATAATGGGAAATGGAAATTTGCTTCTAACAACTTGTGATTCAAATTAATTTGGAAGGAATTTACTTCAGATATAAGAAAGTAGTATCATTTACATATTCAGTTTAAGCCTTCATACCTCTATTAAGGTATTTGCTAAGAAGTTCCAGTCAGTTTTTAAGCTTTTTTGTGTAAAATACTATTGTAGGCTTCAGTCATATCATAATGTTAAAAATTTGAATCTCTTTATTTCCTTACTGCCATAAGGAAATAAAAGCACTAAAGTAAAATATATAATTGCATGGTAATTTACATGATTTGTATTTGTTAATTTTCCTTATTCTTTTATTTTTAAAGCTTGTAATATGGGTTGATCCCTTGGATGGAACCAAAGAGTACACTGAAGGTTGGCTTCTCTTTTAATTTTTTTTTTTTAATTATAGCAGTGTAATAAAGTAGCATGTACATGTAGATAGTTTTATGATAGAAGTTACATACAATGTTGTTTCATAAGGCTGATGTTATGTACTTTGAGTTCTATGGCATTTTTTAATCATTCCATTCAGTTCTAACCAGTATTGAATATTCCTGATGGGCTACTGAGTACCCACCAGTTTTTATCATTTCAGGGAGCAAAGGGCTGCCTTTGATTACTGTCAGGTTGTCTTAAGTTTTAGTCAAACTTACAATTTTGCATGTACTTTGAATTGAGGGACTAAATCTCCCATTTGCACAGGAATATGCTCAATTATATTTACATCTTCCTCTTCAAAAACCCCAAATATCACAACTGTATTTGTAGCCCTTTCAAAATAAAACATCTTCCCCTAAATCATAATTCTTCAGTTATGGGAAGACACTGTTTTCAGCGAAGCCTAATTTATGTCCATAGAAATAGACCCTAAAATGAAGGAAAACAATTCCCAAACAAAAACCTCCAAACAACATGCTGAAACCTCACTTCAGCCTCCTGCTGCATCTTTTAGTTGATTAATGTAAAATCTCTTAGGCAGATTTTTTCCCCCTTGTCACAGAAAGAGATGTACAACTGTCAACAAATTGGTAGTTTTGAATACCTTTAAAGAATTCACACCACAATTATAGAAGAATGACATCATACACTGCTATTTAGTTGTATCTTTAAATTTCTTTCTCATAATGTGTTAATTCTAACATAGTTATATTAAGAGAATTCTAACTGGGGCTTTTTTTTGGTAGACCTCAAGGCTAAATGACAAAAAAAAATTATCAGCCAACCTATTACACCTGATTAGTATCTGCATTTTTAAGATACCACCCTGCATATCAATTTGTGGACTTTTATTGAAGGTTTATTTTTTTATATATAAACTTTCTCTTTTTCAAGCATAACTACATTCATATTATTTCTGTACAGGTCTCCTTGACCACGTAACGGTTCTTATTGGAATTGCTTATGGAGGCAAAGCAATAGCAGGAGTTATTAACCAGCCATATTACAACTATGAGGTATTAAATGCATTGATTTGTTTAAAAGCATTAGGTGATTTCTAACTGTCACTTCTAAGCCATTTCTAGTTAGCACACTTTCAAATGAAAACCAGTGTGTAATAGAGTTAATGTTGTAATATAAGGTGGTGGTGTTTTTATTAAATATATACAATTTTGAATGTTGGTTTCCAGGAACTGAATCTCAGGGACCTACTAACAACCATACTGAATCCTGAAGCTTGTGTAATACACTAATACAGTATATATTACATACATACTGTAGATATTACTACAGTACATATGAAGTACATACTGTAAACCAAGCACAGATAGGTGGTTTTGCAGTCTCTGCTAGAAATTCTTTAGTAAATCCATGCAATATATGCATTTGTGATGTGTGGTAACTGCCATAAATCTGCAGCCCTAAACAAACTAGGCATACCTGTCACTGACAGCTGGGTTAGAATATATCAGGCCAGGTTTCAGGTGTAAGTCCAGGATGGCCAACGTACAGGCACTTACATGTTTGGAGATTATTTCAGTATTATCTGTGAGGGGGGAAAAAAGCTCATGGTGCAGCCTGATTAAACTTAGTAGAATTTAAAGAAAAAGCTCTTGAGTTTATGTAATGCATATCATCAGCTGATTCTGTATGTTTTATATGATACGTATGACAAAATATTTAAAATGACAAGATATTTTCAGTTACAGATTGTGCCTGAAGTACAGAAATATGAATTGTCAGTCATTGGAGGCAGGATGTAATGCACCAGCACAATGTCACAGATAAGAAAAGGGTAAATGACATCACTGCCTTAGAGGGAAAGAGCCAATTTCTCACTGCGGGCTCTAGAGTAGTTCTTTTTAAGTGCCATTGTTTGAATGTATAAGCCAGTATTAACATTATACTCCCTGATATGCAAAGATGTCTAGGTACTCCTTTCCATTTGTGCTTTAAATGCTGATCACTATGATTAACCATCACCTGGACCTGCGTACCTTTTTCATAGGCAGGAGCTGATGCTGTGTTGGGCAGGACAATCTGGGGAGTCCTGGGCATAGGTGCCTTTGGATTTCAGCTCACAGAAGCACCTGCTGGGAAACACATCATCATTACCACCCGCTCTCACAGCAGTACCCTGGTAAATGAGTGCATCAGTGCCTTGAACCCAGACAGCGTCATCAGAGTTGGAGGAGCAGGAAACAAGGTATGAAAACTCCAAATCTTTTGTTTTTTATTGGGAGGTGGTACCTTTGGAAAAAGAAAAAGAATCTTTAAAGAAATCATTTGCTTACTTGCATGAATGTACAGGAGACTTCCTCCTCCTTCCCCAGCACAAGTTCGCTTCCTAGCAGACTGCTATGAGGTAGACAGTCAAGAATTTGGTACAGGTACATTTGTAACAATGGCCATGCTGGTCATGGCTGAGGTCCATCCTCCCTAGTATTCTGTTTCTAGGGGAGAAAATAAAAAGTTACAAGACCAGAATGACTAAATGGGAATACAATTTCATCATAATTATTAGATATTTCCTCCTGTTCACGTTAACAGTTTTTGTTCCCACTATCTAGCAGCACATACCAAAGGATAAATATAGGAGAAGCACACAATGATATTACCTTTGCAGACCTTCTCTGCATACAGGGAATACTCATTTGCTGCAGTTTTGAAAGCTTAGTTTTGTCATGGTTGTCAAACACAGACCCTCCAATCTCTTCTCCAACACAGCCCAAAATGGCACCAAGACAATATGGAGACAGTTTCCACTTTATTTTCTTAGTACTTGCACAAGATGGGAATTCTTGCTTCTTAAACTAAAAGCAGATTTTCATCCTATATTGTATTTATAACAATCAAAAATAGATCATGCAGAATGGTAATACAGTATAGCTTTCTAAATCTTAATACAATTTCTTGTAATATTGGAAAGGAAATGGCTCATGTTCCTTTTTTGACCATAAGTACATAGAATAAACTGATCTAATCCCTGTTTCCTGGTGTTATTTTTACCCATTTCTTAATGCCTACATCCTTTGCAATGATTGCCACTCACTATTCATAACAGGTCATTCAACTTATAGAAGGCAAGGCATCTGCTTATGTATTTGCCAGTCCTGGGTGCAAGAAGTGGGATACATGTGCACCCGAAGCTATTCTGCATGCTGTGGGAGGTAAGCTAATAGCATTCAAAATTCCAGGATAAGTGAAACTGCATCAATTTAAAGTTATTTATACTTTTCATAGAAAAATAGAATTTCCAAACATGTCTTTGGAAAGAAAAACGACAGTATGTATGTATTTTTATATAGTCACGATTCACTAGGAGCTTTGAGCCCTTTGAAATCAACAGTAACTCCAAAGGGGCATCAAATTATGCTCTGGAAAGCATGATATGATCTGTTTTGCCCTGGATTAATATAGTCAATAACTGTCAATAATTTAAGAAGCCAAATTCCAACATTTTGGGTATATTAATTTTAGTATTTTCAAAACAAATGTTTTTTTTCTGTTGACTTCTACTTCATAGTAAAATCACACTGTCCTACTAACTGGATATAGTAGTTTATTATTAGTAACATATTATGTAATATGTGGATACTGGATTCTTTAAACAACAAAAATAGGCCAAATCATGCAGTTGTTTCTCAGATGTACAAACTCCAAAATTGAGTCATTCGTGTTATTTAGTAAAATTGGCGGTCTCCAGCCAACATAAGCCACTTCACCTTTCTAGAGGGTAAGGGGTTAGAGAAGTTATGAAAAGCCTCACTGACAAGAATTTGAAGTATTATTTATTATACTTTTTCTGCTGTTCAGAAAGGTTGATAGACCTTTTACCACCATATGCTATAATCGTGGGTTTTGATCTAAATTCTGTCAAGCAAGGGTAACAGGCTTCATAATGACATTATTTTAACTCCTCTGCAGTCTCCAGTGTTGATAACTGGGATACCTTTAAACAGGTTAGCTCAGGCACAAAAACCCAACCAATCTGGGGCAGCACAGTGCTGTATTTAGCCTCCTTGTTATGTAGGTATCTTGTAGTTAAATTAGCTTGCATAAAGATCTGTGTTGCTCTTGCCAAGTGACTTCTAGAAACTCACTTAAAACCAGCTAGGGTATTTCTGTATTATGTTAGTTTGTTGTATAGACTTACCCTGGCTTTTACTTGAAGTGAGGATTTTTCTTTCCTTCTTGTCAATGGCCAATGTAAAAACTACTCGGGAAGCATTTTAACTAATCCATAAGAGAGAGATGTTGTATTCCTTTTCCTGAAACACAAGGAGTTTTAAGTATTGCTGAAAGAAAATAGAACCATTAGCTTTTTGATTTCAGTCAATAAGAAACTTGCACTTAAACTGGGAGCAAAGATATTTCACATCTGAAGACATGCATGTGTAAGCCAAAGACTGTCTTTTTTTTTTAGTTATATCACTTGTACTAATAAAATAAGAGTACCTCTTCAACTCCTGTTTGCTGGAAATTTTTTTTTTTTTTTTTTTGCAGGCAAGATAACAGATATCCATGGAAATTCATTTCAGTATAACAAGGAAGTGAAACACATGAATTCAGCTGGGGTCCTTGCCACTTTGAGAAATTATGACTATTATGCCAGTCGTATTCCTAACACTGTTAAACAATCTCTTATGCCTTAAAGCAGTAAGGCATCTTCACTTGGCCTGGAAGGCTGAGAAAGCAAGCTTGGAGAAAAACAAAGAAAGATGATAACTGAGCTTGAAATTTTGTTTTATAGAATCTGAACTGAATTCTTACATTATGGTGTTCAATAATTTCAAAATTACATACAGAATCTCTAGGTATGTTTGATCAGATTGTTTTGCTGTGTTTAGTAGACAACATCAAAACAGTCACATTTCTTCGATAGTTGTTTTCCATGTTCTTTGGGAGCATTCATTCTTCACGATTGTGCTTAATATACTGCCAATCGTAACACAACAGTCCAAAAATCATCATAATATTCAGGGCCAAAATCACATTAAGTCATTTACCTGATCTTGCTCAATGTTTCTTGTTGTATGTAGTCAACAAGGGTTTATTGTATTAAATACAAACGGACTAAGAAGTTGCCTGGATGGATTAGCCCATTTATTATAAAGTTGACGGTTTTGATTCTCAGAAGCGAATCTTTGAATTTTTTGATCTGCACTCAGTTTTGGGATGGCCAAGATTGCTATTGGTGGTGAGCTGGGTTGTCCGAGTTTTACAGGAGCCAGGACACAGGCCAGCTGGGCCTCTTACATCTCAGATAGGGGTTCCTGGATCATTGGATCCATTGAGGATCAGTGAAGCATTAATACAGTGGGGTTCAGGACAACTCAGCTGAGGAGAACCCAAGGAAACTGCAACAGGGGGAGGAGTTTCCAGCACCTTTCTGATGATCTCAAATGCCTCTGTCAGGGTCTGTGCGACCTCAGTCTTGGAAAGCTTTGGGCATCCTACGTCGCTTTGTCATACATGGGCACAACAGAAATGCTGGAACTTGAAATTTTTCAGGTCCAAATTTTGAGAGAAACAAAGTCCAGGTGCCTTTCCAACAGCCCCAAGAGTTAAGGAACCTGACACTACCACTTCCCCCTCCTGTGGAACATATGCGTGTTAGGGTAGGGGAGAGAGCAGGGAACAAGATCACCCAAAATGAACTAAAAAATTGGAGAGCCTGTTTCAGTCAGCTTTCCCATAGGTGTGGGGGTTAGGAAAGCAGGCTTCAACTGTTCAGTCCACTTGAACACAAAAGAGAACAAGTAGTAAATTACATATGACTACCGAAAATTGGCAACTAGCCAAAACAGATGAGGTCTCTTCAGGCTGAATTCAGGAGCCTGGACTATCTTGCACCAGTGAAGCCCCTATATACTTTGTTTTCTTCAGATTTTGTGACCCAAGTCCCTCACAAATTAAAGAGTCTTAGGGCCTCCCTTTCCCTAACAATGTGACACATACTGAGGCATGCCATGGACAACAATGGACAACACATAGTTGTGCTTTTCTTTCTGTTCTGCGTGGACAGAAGAGTGGCATATGTCGGGTTCTCAGTCTTGTGGTGTCAGTGAGGGTGCCTGAACTTGGCTGCTTGCTTACATAAAGACTGAATGGCTAAGCTCTTCCAGCATGGTCTTTTTTCTCCTCACTCTACTGACACTATGAATGGCAAAGTAGACTGCAAGTTGCACTGCACCCGTTCTCACTTCCTCCCTTCCCACAAGATTAAGTCCTCCGAATAACTACACTCTTGGTCCACTCAAACCATGTTTAAGCTAGCACTGAACTTCAAGATACAAAAAGCTATGTTTTCCATACAGAAGAAAATTTCAAAATTCAATTTTCAACAGTGTGTTCAAGTTACTTCTTTCTCCTTTCATCACACAAGGTATTTAACAACTCTAATTTACTTAAAGTCCCTTGACAGATCCTTTCCTCACAGTAGGGTAATACCAATATGACTTCACTGGCTTAAGGCTGGCTCTATTTCCAGCAAGCAGGAACATCCTGGACACCAAAAGATACGAACAAGGCAACTCTTGCTAAAATGTTCCCAGTCTCTCCGTGTGCACACACAGAAAAGGATCTAAGGCAGCTCTTCCCTTAGTGAGGTCAGCTTATCATAACATTTACAGATAAATTAGCAAGATTATAACTTACCTCATTCTATCATCAGCCAGTCCATAATGCTATCATGACACTGGATTAAAGCTCCATATATAGGAACAGTGCATGCTTCTAATCCTTTCATCTGTAGCCTACCTTTCTTCTCCTTCCTCAAGCGCATGACTAGTAAGAGCACACAAGACAGATTCAGCCTGCTTTAATTAGAGCCTCCTTCACATTTTGACCCATTGTAAGTTTAATCATTGCACATATTGATTGTGACTGGTTTGAACCATGTAGCAAGTACAAGATTAATCTAATTTCATGGCCCCAATTATACATAATTCTCACCTCTATCTTCTGCAGGATTCATTATTCACATTAAAATCTGCATGTGCATTTGCAAAACACATTAAGATAAAACATAGAACGACTTAGACAACACAAAGCCTGCCCTAATATGTCTTTCCATGTAATCATTGAAATACAAAGTCAAGAGCAGAACCCACTGTTAGTAATCTTCATCTATGTCTCTATATCCTTATTTTCATCTGAAACTTGATATATGTTCAAAAATTTCCTCAGCATAAGCCCCTTTCTAATTCTGCTGTAATTTATCTCTCCACTCATTTACAGTTACCTCAATGGGAGCAGAACACATGGCATATACCAGCTTCTACTGATGTGTAAAGATGCTTACGGATGGAACCACTTTCTGTGCTCACAGGAACTGTGAAACTGCTAACACAGGGGAATATTAAGGAAATTTCAAATAAACTGCAGCAGCAGGAACCAAGGACAAAAGCCAGCATGTAAGGTGCAGTCATGCTCTGGCTATACCACTACGCCCTCTGTACAAAACAGCGCCGGTCCACCAATCAAGCATTTTAGAATTTCTCTACTAGCACATTAGGTGCTATAGTACAATCTATAAAATAGACTGGGGGGGGGAGGCATAGTGACACTGCATTGTCCTTGCAACAATGTGAACTTGAGTCTGTCTCCTCTGAAAAACTGCTGACACAGCACTTTTGTAATTCATTCCAAGACTAGTTTGACCCACTGCAAAATCTGCGTGTTTGCGAGGAGCGTAAAGAGTAACACCCTATGAGAACAGATGGTTTAAACCACAGTACTCCAGTGTGTCGGTATACGTCGCACTATTGGATTTGTTTGTATCTTTATACATAGAAAAGG